ACAAACCTTTGTCCAAGGGGGAAATTTAACACAGGTGTACCACGAGGTTGAATTTGGTAATTTTTTCAAAATGTGAAGGACTGACCCCTTCAAAGTGTCCAGTGGTGACTTGGGCAGCCCTGGGATCATAGAATTTCAGAAACCTATGTTTAAAAGATCTCAGTCTCCTTTGCTATAAAATGTAATTAATCTTGCAGCGTTATTTTTCTTTACCTTTGACAAAAGCTGATCAGTTCAAATTCTTGACTTTATGTAAAGTGTAAATTATATGTCATATACTGTAGCTTGGATATTGAGGACTTTGGATAAATTACAGTAAAAACATAAGGACTGAAATTTTCAGAGCTACCTAGAGGGATTTCAAGCCTCCAGATTCCCTGTGCATTTTTGAAAATCTCATCCAGGAAGTAGAGCAAAATATTTTTCGTACAGATTTGCCACTTTGACAGAATTATACCATGTGCAGGGCATCTGGCATTACCGGTAGAAATATGGGGGCAGGGGGGGTTAGACCACAATCTTATGACAATAGTGTGTTATCTCTTGTTTTTGGCATAGAATGAAACAATTTCTTATCGTCTGTTCTCAAGAGCTATAGATATGCTCTCTGTCACAGTTTCAGGGTAACTGCACCTTTAATCCCCTCTGTAGTCTGTTTCAGGAATGCCCACTCAGGCCTCTAGCCCTCATCTTTCTCTGGGCAGGGATCCACATCCCTCTTCCTTCTCTTTAGACTTAAGCTATAACGCCTCTGCAAAGCTTGTTGCTTCTCTTGGCAGGTCTGACTAATGACCAGCCCCTGTTCTTTTGTTTCTCTCCAAGAGCGATGACCAGTGAATGACTGCAATCATGAGTAACATAGCCACACTCTTCTTTCATTTACTTGAGGACAAAAGCATCCAGAGAAAACCTATAAAACAATAAAAGGATATAAACACTTTACCAACAGCTCCGCATCAGTCCTATGGAGTCCCTGGCAGGTTCAAGGTCTTCCAACTCTTCAGCAAGGTTGGGTATCGTCTACACACAAGGTCATCTGGTTTTTTTTGCATCAAAATGAAGGCTCCTCTGCCAGGTTAGACTCAGCCTTCTATACCAAAAGCCCTTTCTTTGTCTCCTTGGGCCTCTGATATCTGAACTTTTATATGCAAACCATCCCAGGGGCGGTACTTCTCTAAAGCTGTTTACAGTCCCCAGGACTGCAATAATCTCCCCCAACCACCACCGTTTTAAGTTCCTGGAGATGCTGTGGTAACCCTCCCCCAGGGAGTTACTCTAGTCCACAACGATAACATGGAACATCGATAATGTAAATAAATAGTCCCCAAAGACACTGTTTGGGATGGAACGAGAGACAAGGTTTTAAGAAGCATGAACAATAGAAATATCATTTGACTTAACTGTGCACATGGTTTTTATTTCAGAGGTGTATAAAATTTTGTTGTCCTAGACTCTGCTGTGTGAAAGCCTAACTCTGCAAAGTTCTGAGCACCAATGTGATCTTATCCAACCCTCTGGACCAAGTATTGATGGCTAGACAACCCCCCCTCCCCCCGAGCTCTTTAGCATGGTGGACTCAAAACCTGTGGGCTTCGAGCCCTGCCCATCCTATGATGGACTAATCCATTTAAAAAATGGGCACAGTAAGTACTAGCTCCATCTAGGAGAGTCACACATACCTAGCAGATGCTTGCTTTGCTTCACATTTTCTGGGCAGATGTGTAAGTATTTACCCCAACCCAGGTTCCTTGGTCATATCAGCAGTACAGGAGAAACTGAAGTGTCCTTGGGGATACTCTTGGACTAACGGCCCAAAACAACTCGACCTCTTTGGAAGAAAGTCATATTCTTCCGCATGTGGCTAACTGCCAGGCCTTACTGGCCAAGTATGAGTTCCTAATCTGGGACCAAGTGACACCCTTCCTCACAAAGTTTCTGCTAGACAGCAGAGAGGAGCTAAAAGATAATTAAGGAAGGTCAGCTGGTGGCCAGGTTGGCACTACACATTGTGATGTATGCCTCCAACACCATTGCAAAGTCTCTGGCCACCATGGTGATGAAACACAGAGCGTGATGGCTCCAAGCATTGGGTATCCCAAGAGAGGTACAGGCCACTATTGAAGACTTGCACTTCAAGGGCAAGGAGCTATTTAGCAGGCAGGCAAACAGCACTCTGCACTCACTGAAAGACTCAAAGGCCACCTTATGCTGTCTAGGGATTTGCATCTCAGTGCTGTACCACAAGCCTTACTGCCCTCAGTCCCAGTTGAAGCTGTGGACACTGTCTTCCAAACACAGGGATCCTGAATGCTGGACCAGGAAAAGGCCAAGATAAAGCAGAGGGCACAGCCTTTCCTCTTCCTGATCAGTGCACCCCAATCCTATAGCATGCCAGCAAACTTCACAGCTTGCTTGAGAGCCACATCCAATCCAGTGAATGAGCACTACTTTCAGAATCCACCTCCCTCCATTCCACCAGGCATGATCAGTTGTAACAGGACGATCATTGCCCGTGGCTCTCCCATCCAGTTCCACTCATAACCCCCTACATGCACCTCTCCTCAGGAAAGCCTGCTGCAATCAGAAGTGGCCTTGTTGCTTCATCTAGGAGCCATACAGGAGGTTCCAACAGAATTCAGGGAAAGAGGCAGCTTCTCCTGATATTTCCTCATTCTGAAGAAGAAAGAAGGTCTTCATCCTATCCTAGAGCTGAGGAGACTGAACCAGCACCTACACTGTCCTGAAGTTCAATAATCTCTTTATTTATTTGTTTCTCTTATTCAAGAAAGATTTTGTAATGCTTGCCTCTCTCATCCTGTCTCTCCAAGCTCAAAACTGGTTCATCTCTGGGAGGAAAGGAACTACACGGTATTCAGAGCTTTATAGTATTACCTTAATAGGGCCAAGCCATTTTTGCTGTCTCCCAGTTTCTTTGTGCTCATTCTGTCCAGGGCATCTCATCGCAAAGAATCTCCAAGTGGATGCATGCAATGCTATCAGTTGGCTGATGAGCCTCTCTCTTCAGACATCAAGCCACACTCACTAGAGCATCTTTCGCTTGCTTCCGAAATGTGTTGGTCTCTGCAGGGCTTTGGAGCTCTGCTCCGGCTCCGCCGCTCCAGGCAAAAACCTGCAGCTCCACTGCTCCAGAGCTGCTCCACGCTCCAGCTCTGGGCTCCACTCCAAAGCCTGAGATCTGCAAGGCTGCAACATGGAGTAACCTACTGACTTTCATGAAATAGTACGTCCTTGACATGGCTGCCAGGGCAGATGCCAAGTTCAGGAGCATAGTACTTCATTCATTGTTTGACTGATTCAGCTGGTGCTCTCTGCCACTGTCCTGAGGGTATGCTGCTGGCCAGCCATCAGCACTGGGATGGTGGGACCCATATGGACATACTCGAAGAAGAAAGAATGGTTACTTACTCTACGGTTAGTTTGGCTCTTTGAGATTATATAAATGTGGATCACAGGACTTGTGCCCCATCCCCACTTTTTGGAATCCTCACCAACATGGGCTTTGAATTGTGAGGGTATGAGGGAAGGTCATGGTTCCCCATGCCTAGGCCCTCTTGTGAGAGGCACAGGTTACATGCACGGCCCCAATGGATGCTGATATACAAAAACATCCAGTGTCGCTTGCATGAGGCACATACACACCTATAGTGGGATCCTCGCCGACTGTAACATCTTGAACTCCAGGTACTACTGTAGGGTAAGTAACTGCTCTTTGTCTACATCCATAGGAGTAAATGGGACAGGAGGGCATTCAGCACGTTGCTGGCTTTGAAAGCTGATCCGATGAATGGTGTATTGATTTGGTATAACTTGAAATTATTAGCTACTTAATTCCATAGTTGAAAATGCTGCTATACCTTTATCTCTCTCTCTTCTCTCCCCCTCCCCCCCCCAGGCTAAAATAAATTGACATGTTTCTGTGTGAGTTTATCAGAGCATTTTAGGCTCTGCTCTCTATGTTGTTCTTATAAGGAGCTGCTTAGTAGTTTTACAATAGTCTGTTTGCTATTTGTATCTTCCTTGCTCTCTCTTTCCTTGTGAATTTTCTTCCTGGGAAACATTCTTAAGACCTTTACTGAAGATGTCAAGGTAGTTTAGAGGAGGAGGGTTGTTCATAGGATCAGTATGCATACTTGTCACACAAAATCTCTACAGGTTACAAATATGGCTAAAATTAATGAGAACTGAGACCTCCATAATGCGTGTACAGCTACAGAGCCTGATTATATATTATAGTTTTGACAGCTGTCTAAAAGGGATATCACTGTTTTTATTTTCATTGATTTTTATGGATCACAAAAATGTACATTCTACAGCCTCCTTTAAAAAAAAAAAAAAAAAGTGGGTATGTATTGAAGTGACTCCCTGTAACATTAATTTCAACCTCATGTAACTATTTAACTAGTGCATGCCTTGATAAACAAGCCTGAACATTTATGGGTGCCCAATACCCAAATGTCTTTGTGTGCCTTTAATTAAAACAAAACAAACCCCCCCCCCCCCAAACAAGGTTGTCAAACTGAGCATCATGTATAGAACAAACCCCAGTGTCATTAAAGAGAGCAGAGCAAAACAGAAACAAAAATGACAATCTCCCTTTATTGCTCTGGCACATGAAATAAATACATTACTTCTATACACACGCTAGCAAGAGGGGGTGGAATTTCAAGCTTTGCCGTGGAGGATGACGAAGATCAACTCTGGCATCTGTGAAGGGTGTAAAGAACATAAAATCCTTTTGACTATTTAACTTGTATGGCACTCATCTGCTATGGCAATGAACATTGTGTAAATACCAATATAGATACAGCATTCCAGAATCATAGGTCCTCTATGGAAAATCCTGTTCTATCTTCTCCAGGGCTCTCAGCACTTTTAGTAACAGTTAGTCCTGTTGCTCTCTGATGGATAGTTTTTCAAAGAAAAATTAAAAGTTATGCTAATATAAACCAACTATGTGTTTTGGGTTTTTTTTCTTGTAGGGCATCAGAAGATCACAGTGATTCCAATGTGTTGATGGGCGAGATTCAATCAGATGAAGAAATTATCAACAGCTCTGATGAGGACGATGACACAAATTCCGATTCTAGCAAAGGGGAGCTTGATCTTCAAGAATATAAGCAGGTGTATTTTAATTTTTAGAGCTGTACTTCGTCAGTATTTTTTTAGTTTCCCATATAGTTTGTAAAGGAAATTTGGGGAATATCTACATAAGAAATGTCTTGTTGTATAAATGTAAACCATCATTTTTCAGATGCTTTTTGCACCCTGATAACAGTAATTTTTTTTAAAGCTTCATACTTGCTGTGGATTTGCAAATGTCCTTGATGTGAAGAACCCATGTTTAGAAATAGTCATAAAAACTGTGCACTGCTCAGTCCATTAATTCATTCTTAACACCTCAAAGAGTTGTGGGCCTGTAGTCCTACACACCACCCACCTGTATATGTAGAGTTCTACAAACTGAAGTAAAGTGTGAAAGAGTCAAACTTGACTGCTTTGTCTGCATGTTTTAGACTGCACATTTACTAAAGCTCTTAATCTCATGCTCTGGACCTTTGAGTCCCAGAGTTTCCTGCTTTCTGCAGGGTGAACTGAAGAACATTGGAAACTGATTACCAGGACTGGAGAAGCCAAAGGGTAGGGACTGGAAAACAGGTCACTAGAACTGCTGAGGCCCTTCCCAGTGCCATCTCATTGGTTTTAGGGGCATGGGCAGGTGAAACTATTGTGATATAGGAGTGTTCCAGCCAAGTGTTGAGGAAGGAAAGGCTACTTTTCAGTGACAACTTCTGGTTCAGCGGAACAGCATTCTTGAAGTTGTATGTCCAGCCACACACGCCTTTCAAATCAGTAAACTGTCTTGGGGCAAGTACGCAGTCCACAAATCGTTGGCTTCCTTGGACTGAAACATATGACACCCTGCCTCTTAACCAGTGCTCAGCTGCTCCTTTCCAATGGCCAGAGTAGATATGGGCCCAACCCTCACCCTGTTTTGGGGATAATGTAGAATTCCTGTTTCTTGGATTTAAGAGTCACTGCTCTGGCCCACACTACTGGGCTTTCCTGATTGTATCTACGCTATCAAATGCAGAGGTACCCATTAAAGAGGGTTGGTTGGTTGTTTTTTTTCTTCTCTCTGCTAGTCCTGGTTACCTAGCTCGCACATTGCCCATTTAAGCGCCTCAATTCAGTGCCTTCAAAGTAATGAGGTACAGTGTTCCTTTGTGTGCTCTCCACAAGATCCTTCTTAGCAGGCTTGTTCTGCCCCAAGTGCTCTGGAGGCACCTTAGCCATGATGCCTAGGTTCTGGTTCTCTCTTCACTGCTGTGTGTGCTGGATGGCATGTCTTTGGAAGACACTTCCTATGTGATTTCCTTTTTCCATCCCTCCTTCAAGCCAAGGGTGACTGGGTAATAAAGCAACCTTTTTTAATCAGTTGATGATCTGGGGTTCCATCTCCTTTCCTAGGGGCTTCCTTTGCCATCTTTTCTTATAAGCATTAGAGGTTTCTGTCAGCTTCCCAGCATCCCTGAAATCTGCGTGGCTGTAGATTCTGGCATCGGCTTTCCTTCAGACCGGCTGGGACTGCTGCTTCTTCACCTCCTTACAGGGCAAGTATCTTTTTGCTCTATGGTGGAATGTTATTTCAGACACCTGCCTGCCAAGGAGAACTCCATATAGGATTTCCCATTGCCAGAAAGAAAAGAGCTCATGTTCAACAAGGTGAAAGTGTTGTGTAACAGCTTTGAATTTCCTCATATTTTTCTGCTAGTGCCCTGACACCTTGATCTTAATAAATCAACTTTTCTCTTGCGTAAGTTGGGGTGTGGCGGGAGTCGGCAGCACAGCCTGTTCCTGTGTAGCTAACCAAAATTGTGTGTGGGTATATCAGCTAACATCCCAATGTGAATATCTTTCTCACAAGATTCAGAAGGGCATTCCTAGAAACACACAGTGCAACGCTGCTCCGCTCGTGAAACATCTCGTGTTTCATAGAATATACTCTTGCCTTCATGTAACTCAGAACTGGTGGTGAACCATCTGGTTTTTAACTTGCTCAGCTGGCCTGTGGCGCGTGGACTCTGACAGCTGCAGATTAACTTTACCAACAATCTGCCTCTTGCTTGAAACTTCTAACAGTTCCTGCAGCTGCAGGGGAAAATGAAACAATCTCTGCATTGGTAATCAGCTGTTTGGTGGGTTTATTTTGTTGGCAAACATATCCAGTCTCTAATGATATTTCTCACCCACAATAGCGGGTACAGTAAATAACTGCTGAGAAAAAAGGGTAAAAACTGAGGTGTTCTATCACCTGAAAACTGAGAGAACTCAAGGCCCAAAATTTGAAGACTATGCTTCAAACCCTCCTGCTTTCCAAATGATTGTCTTCTGACTGAACAAACACAGTGTGGCATTTCCAGTGCCAGCTGATCGGAGAAAAATTTTCCAAATGGTGTTAAAAAAACAAAACAAAGGGGCAATATCTCAGCTCATGCTTAGTTTGCATTAGTATTTTACTATTGTGTAATCATTACTTTTAAATTAGTTTGCAACTGTCAGTTATAGAGTGTTGACAGTTATTGTTTTGCAAAATCACACACTGCATGTGAGTTTATTCCCACAGTGTTAGCTATGCTCTCCATAAAGAGAGAGAGAAGGATGTGCACCCTATCCTTGTATAAATATAAATGTCCTGAATTTGGTTGGTTTTAGTGATTATTTCTAGACGCTAACATGGGGGCTTTTCTAAATACAAACCTAATCGATATGAATGGAAGAGCTAGGATTTCACTGCTGAAATAGTCTTGTTTCAATGGGGGGGGGGGGGGGGAAAGCCAAAGGGGTTTGAGCTTGGGCCTGCAAAACCCAGGCTTGTGAGTTCAATCCTTGAAGGGACCACTTAGGGATCTGGCACAAAATCAGTACTGGGTTCTGCTAATGAAGGCAGGGGTCTGGACTTGATGACCTTTCAAGGTCTCTTCCAGTTCTAGGAGATAGGATCTCTCCATTAATTTATTTATTTATTTAAAATACTAAGGCCTAGCTGAGGATTGTAGAAACAACAATTTGGTTTCCAGCTGTCAATAATTTATATGCTAGTTGCTCTTCGAAGGAGAACTGCAAATCTAGACCAAAGCTTGCAGCATTAGTACTTCGGGGTCTAGCAATGCTACTGATGCCAGTAGGCACTGGTGGGAGAATATCAACTGAAAATGAGGCCTCCTGGATTCTGGCCACAGCTGGGACCCTCATTTGCATTGTGACCTTGAGCAAGTTGCTTTTCTGTGCCTCAAGTTCCCCATCTATAAAACAGGGCTGATACCTACATTGGTAAAGCGCTTTGTGGTCATTGGATAAATAGCACTAAGTGCAACATGTTACTGTTATTGTAGCTTCACTAGTTGCTAGGGTTGCCAACCCTCCAGGATTGTCTGGGAGTCTCCAGGAATTAAAGATTAATCTTTAATTAAAGATTATGTCATGAGGAAACCTCCAGGAATATGTCCAGCCAAAATTCACATCCCTACTAGTTGGGTAACAAATTCATAGAATATCAGGGTTGGGAGGGACCTCAGGAGGTCATCTAGTCCAACCCCCTGTTCAAAGCAGGACCAATCCCCAGACAGATTTTTACCCCAGTTCCTTAAATGGCCCCCTCAAGAATTGAACTCACAACCCTGGGTTTAGTAGGCCAATGCTCAAACCACTGAGCTATCCCTCCAATGTTCAGAATTTAACTTCTCAGATTTTGTAGTCCTTTAGCCTGATATGTGTTGTCCTTACCTTTGTTTGGATTGGACAGTGCCTGGGACATCAGAATAACAAACATACAGTGTATGACTTCTGAAATTCTTAGAGATCAGCAAACCGTCACTTTAATTATTGATGTAACACCCTACAATATTGATAGAAATAAAATTGTATGGGATTGCATCTGCATTACAATCACCTTTTTGAAATAGGAAATGAAGCCATGAACCTTTCAAAGAGAAATATTGTAACCTTATTTCAAACATCATTAACAAGTATATAACAGTGTAATCAAAACAGCTAAAGTTTTAAGGTAAATCACTCAGTGCCTGCTCTTTTACTACTCTTCTGCATATGATTTCACCAGAACTTCAGCTTGCTATTGTTTGTTCTCTGTGTTGCATACCTGCATATCTATGATTTATTTTCATTTTCTCTCTCCTTTAACTCCCCATTGTAATGGAAAACCTACATTGTTAATAGACATATAGAGCCAGCTGATAACTGCTAGGCAGGTGGCAAGCCAGGGCTGCTACTATAGAGATATAGTTTAAAAAAAAAAAAAAAAAGCAAACTGTACACACAATTAGACTCTGCAAAAGCATCTTTGCATGCCTGTCATCTTGCCCTCATTTTGTTTGCTGTACCACATTCTTGGAATTGGTATTAAGCTTTAGCCCTGATCCTGCAAGCTACTCTGTCTAGGTCGATTCCTCCGCCCACATGGAGCTCCACTGACTTCACTGGAGCTCATCAAAAGTCTATCACAGGGATTATCATCTCCGTGTTGTTGGGTGACAGCTTGCAGGGCCTGGGCCTCAGATTGTAAATTCTCTGGTGCCCTTTATACATGTTTGTACAGGATCTGGTGCAATTGTGCTGTAATGCAAATAATTCCACATTCCATTTTATTAGCCAGTATCTTAAATATTCATATTTCTGTCTTTTTTTTCTCTCTCTTACACTCATAAGACTGGGGATTCAGTATTTTACACTTATTTTGCACTTTTCTTTTTGAGGGATCCCATAACAATTCAAGGATTAAAATATCAGATGAGATAGCTGGGTGTGGAGGTTGGTTGTGAGAATTCTCATATTTTTGGCTTGGGAAAAAATGAGAATTAATGGCATTCTACGGCGATTGGATTAAACAGAACACTATTATAATTCAATCCCTGTGCTCAGGCCCTGTGCTATCATATAATGTTGAGGGGTGCGTATGCATATATTTGTGTGTGTGCATGTGTTTCAGGAGTGAACTCTTATTTTACAAAGATTACATTTCTTCTATACAGTAGACTTGCTAGCTAAAGAAATCAGATTGTAGTTAATTTTAGTTCTTTTTTTTTTTTTTTTTTTTAGATTTAATAAGGCAGATTCTCAATAGTTAGTATTACTTTGAAAAGAAAAAAGTTATTTCCTGTTACATTTTTGGCTTTATTAAAAGCAGCATGAAAAAATTAACAAAATCTGTGTTCATCTCTTGACAAATGTTCCTAAAACCCATTTGAATTTACTGCAGATTTAGATACCGTATTCACAAATGAGCCAATTAAATTATTATGGATATAGAGTATTATCCACACTTCACTTCTTTCAATAGCTGACAGCTGTCACTTTCAGTATGGGCTCTGATGCTTTCCAGAGTTTCTAGACAGGGATGCTAGTGCTTGTTTATAGATTAGTATTTACACATCATTCTATCCAATTATATTCTAAATTCAATTTCACAAGAAGTAATCTCTGAATACTAGTAGACTTTGGAGCAGTATAAAGTGATATTTTTGGTAGGAAATTTGGCTTGAAGTTGATCTTTGCTATTTGTTTGTGAGTACAAAGTGTAACATGTAATTTTATCTGCAGAGCAAAGCAGCTGGAAAAAAAACGAAAGTTTACCATATTGCCAAGGAGATCATGAGCTCGGAGAAAGTGTAGGTGTTAATTCTAAACTCAAAATACTTACTCGGTTTATTTTAATTCTGCAGTTCAAATGTAATTATTTGCTTTTTATTACTTTTTCTAACAGATTTGTGGATGCGCTAAAGCTCTTGCACATTGTAAGTATCTAGTAAAAAATTTTATGTTCTTCTCTTAAAGTTCAGCATTTACACAGTATTGTACTGAAGTGTATTTTCTTTAATATTTCCTCATTTAAAACACTGAATAAACCTAATTAGGCAGCAGTATAAAAAAAATTCTAAGTTGCTGGCATTTTTCCCTAACAAGTATAGTGGGTAAATGTGTGGTGGTATCCCCCTTGATGCTCATGCAAAATTTCCATGTAAACTATTGGGAGTTTGGATTAAATGTTAGAATATGCCCCTAATTGTTTTACTATAGCTCCTTATTTGTTAATGAACTATCTGGTTGTTCGGCAAGAATAATTCTTTCTCCATAAATAGTAGTATGAAAATTTTTGATTAAAAAAACCTTTTAAAATTATTTTTTTTTTTTACCAACTTGAATATGTACAATGTATGTAAAAATACTTTACCTGATTCTTAGATAATCTATTTAAATCTGGGCTTTTGTACTGCAGTCATCATCATAGTACTGTATGTTTTGAGCTATAACTCTTTACAGGTATGCATTTTGGAGTTTGGCTTTCATTGGCACGTGATTTTGCTGTCTAACATATTAGAAGACATACAGCAAAAAGTATTGGAAATGGATTGTATAAACAGAACTACTAAGTTAAGAGTACACAATTTTTTTACATCACAAGAGTGTACTGATAAAGGTTATAAGAAATCATATTTTTTCAGTTTTCTTCACTCTACCTCTCCTGAGTAGTTTTTCCCCGGGCGGGAAGGAGAGGTAGTTCTACATATTAAACATTTCTGCTTTTACCTAATGAGTCTCTCTTGTGCAGCACATTCTGCCAGATTGGAAACAAGGATGCGTTTTTTCTGTGCCTGTAAAAGAGACATCCTCTCTAACACAGGAAACAAAACTATTACTAAACCACCTGTTGATTTTTGTTATATTTTTGAGTAATTGTTCTCTGAGTCTGTTAGGGCTTGAACTTTAAAAGACCGTGTCAGACAGTAATGACCAATTCATAGTTTACAACCAGCGTTGTACCTAGTCCAGGCACCAAGCATCTTAAATACCTGTTTGGGGAATTGAGCATAAGGCACTATGAACAGATAGTGTTTAAATAGCAAGGTTGTAAGTTTTTAATTAGTTGCTAGCTGTAAAATAAACTGAATGTCAGAATGTTCTCAAATGAATGCGGGCTCTTGTTGGCTCAGGGACAAATATCAGAACATAAAGGCAGTGTAATCTAGTGGAGAGGATGCTGACCTGAGTCTCAAATCTGGGATCTAGTCTCTCCTCTGCCATTGATCTGTTGTGTGACCTTAGGCAATCACTTCAGTTCTCTCTGCCTGTGTTTGTCTGTTTAGATCATAAGCTCTTTGAGGCTGGGACTGTGTACGCTGCCGATCACAATGGGGCTGTGATCTCAATGAGTCTCTAGGAGCTCCAATATAAATAATAATAGACAGTTTAGTCTGGAAAAGCTTCATCAGTGCAGCCAGGACTGTCTGGGAAGCATTTTTTTTTTTTTCATTAAAAGGAAAATCACCATCCCTATTGGCAGAGTTTATGGAAACCCAGTATTGTGTTTAAATGGAACAGTACTCCCAGGGAATCTGACTGTCCACAAGAATGATGCAAAGCCACTTAAAAGACAATTATGAAAGTGAGGTTCTATGTGGAAAGTAACTTTGCAGCACTGCCGTTGTGGGATTTCACTTTTATTGTGTCTCAGTAGTTTTTGTCTCACTTGTTTAGCTTACTCACTGCCAGCCAAGCAACTCATCTTGGGCTCCCAAAGTGAAGCCTGGGCCCTTTCCACCCTGTGCTTCATCACCTGTAATAAAGGTTCTTCAGGCCAGATGAGGCCCAGTGTGTTTCTTCAGCTGCAGCTACTTGGAGCTGAGTAGCAATTCTTTGGATGGTGTACAGAGTGGAGGAGTATTTAGCTCACAAAGGCTAGGTCTACACTAAGGGGGGGGTCGATTTAAGATACGCAAATTCAGCTACGCGAATAGCATAGCTGAATTCGGCGTATCCTATTCGACTTACCCCGCTGTGAGGATGGCGGCAAATCGACCGCCGCGGCTCCCCCGTCGACGGCGCTTACTCCTCCTGACGAGGTGGAAGTATGTGCGTCGATTCGGGGATCGATTTATCCGTGTAGATGAGACGCGATAAATCGATCCCCAAGAGATCGATTTCTACCCGCCGATCCGGGCGGGTAGTGTAGACTAGCCCTCAGTCTTAGCAACATTGGCTCTGCAGCACTAACAGGAGTAAAGAGCAGTAAACTCTTATTTTTGCCACTGAAATCAACAAGCATAATGCTGAATACACCCAGGGAGCAGATCTGAGTGAGAAGGTGCCATTTTACGCAATCATTTTTAAGAGCACTTGAAGTGAAAGTTAAGGTAATTGAGGATGGGGATATAGGTGCAGGCTCGCTATACATAACCGAGTCTAATTTTGTTTGCATTTTGTTGATTATATTAACTAAATTGCTTTAGCTGAAACTCCTCCAAGCACTCAAAGAGCCCATCTGAAGGCTGTTTTTATTTTTTATTTCATGAGAAGAGCAAAAAATAAATACTTAAGACAAAATGTTTGATCATATAGAAAATGTTTTGGTTTGGGATCATTTATAGAATATCATGAATTAATGTAAGCATTGTGTTTGCTATAAAGGTGCTGATTGAGATACTGGCCTTCAATTTTGCACAATGAAGTTTGCCAAAATGTGTTGGGTCAATGGAGTTGTTCCGGGCTGAATGACCCATTTAATTGTAATCCTGTCTCCTCGCTCCTTCTTTGAAGGATGAAATTCTATTTAAGTGCAGAAACTTTGCTCTCAGGAGCTGCAAAAAACAAAACACTTAAATCAAAACTGTGTGCAGCTTGGTGCTATACTTAGGTTTAGGGTCAGTTTATGGCTGGCCTGTGCAGGGGTATGCTCTAGCCCAGGGGAGGACGCAAGGTACTTCCATAGAAGACAGCTCTCATCTAGCTGCAAAGCATTATGGAGCCCAAGGAACAAGCAAATTGTCCAGCACTGGCTGAAATGTTCCATACCCCAGAAGGCCAGGGGGCCTACACACCCTTTACCCTGTGCATTTGTAAGCCAGCACCCTTTCCCACCCTCCAGTATCCAGGAGGTATTACATATTGCGTAGGCCCAATGGCTCCCTCCACAGCACTCAGTAGGTATATGGGTGTGCCCCCTTACTAGTGCCCTCCAGCTCTCAAAGCCTCATTTAGCCTTATGGGCTGTAGAGTGAACAAAATTAAACAGTGAACATTAGGGGGTCTTCCAATTGTTGAATTGCTGTCCGTATTTTGTCTGCTAGAGTCTCTGGGTTAGTCATTTCTTGGTTGTCTTTACCCATATGCCAGTGTAATGCATTAGATAAGCTCTGTAGAACAGGGAGTGTGTCTTCCAGGGTGCTTGTACAATGCCTTGCACACCAGGGACTGATGGAGGTCTTTGCATGCTACTGTAATACAAATAAACTGTTTGCTACTGGTGAGTTATAATAGCGAGGAGCTGGTAAAAAGAAAACCGGCGGCCCATCAGCGGACATTAAATCAGCATTTTTTAATGGCAGATCTAGCAAGTCACCTGCTGTGAGCTTGATGGATGTTGAGTTTAGAGAATGCTTGCTAAGCAAGGCTTGCACACTCCATTTGTAATTTGAGCTTTCACTAAGCCGAAGTGAATTAATGCTCATGACCCTAGTTTTCCTTTAAGATTTACACAAGGCTATAACAGATTATGCTGCAGGGTCAAGATTGTCATAAGTGATTTTAGGTGCCTTGCTCTTTGGGGGCCCAACTCGAGACCTGGCAAACGGGTACCTGATTTTCAGAAAGTGCTGAGCCATCCACCTTCTGAAAATTGGGTCTCTTTAAAGTATCTCATGTTGGGCACTCAGTCACCAGTCGCTTGACCTTTATCTTGTACACAACAGGAAAAATTCAAGATGTCTCATGTTCTCCTCTTCCAGCTCCTAACGTGCATGCATGAAAAGGCATCTTGAAATGTTAACGTGTTTGACAGGTTACATACAGGAACAAATTTTCAAAAAGTGGTCACTGATTTTGTTTGTTTGCAGACTGGGTATTTAGGCACTGAACTACAGAGTTGCAGTGACTGCATATGCAAGAGGTAGAAGCCAATTGAGTCTGGCTGAAAATTTGGACCATAGATAGGGAAATAGCTGCTTCTCATACATGTGTGTAATGCACAAATGCATACTGACAATATGTGGGATTTATTTTGAACTCTCCAATTCAGTATGCAGCATAGGCTAGCTCAGTGGCCCCCAACCACTTTCTGGTGGAGTTTCTCTCCTGTGAAGAATTGGCAGATGGGTGCCACCTCTTTTTGTCCCCATCAGCCATGCCCTCATATATTAGCTGCCATTTCTTCTTCTTCTGTCCATGTTTTCCCCGGTCCTTTTCTGCCTCTGATTGATGTATCTCTCTCTCCCTCTTCCCCCCCTGTTCTTTTTTGCTGTCTCTGTGACTCCCCGTCAACAAAAGGCTACAGACTACTTAGGATGGGGACATCTCCTTGGTTTCACTTAAGGCCAGATGCATATACTCTTGCAATTTAGCTGAGTGCTGGGAACAGAGGAGAGAAGCTTGGGCCTGTGGGTTGCTGCCTGAGCCTGTAGCCCCATCCCCATGAGTTGCTCCTACATCTATTTGTGTTAGGGGCCACTGCTATAGCAGGAAGACAAGGCAGGTGGCTTTCCAAGAGCCACTCAAAGCATTACCCACAAGCACATTCATATTTGAGAGGTGTGGATCTGAGGTCATGAAACTTTATCTCCTCCGCCTGTGCACTTTCGTTGGGCTAAAATGGGGCCATGCTCACCAGTTTGGGAACTCTGGGTTAGCTTGTTGCTGTTCTCGCAGCGTATTTACACTATAAAAATACTTTATTCTCTTAGAAATCTAAAGATTGGACTCAGACTTCGCAATGTAAACTAAATGGCAGTCAAATACTACAAAG